GGGAGAGAGAAGAGACATGCTAAAAAAATTATATCCATATTTATAGTAATGCAATGTTTTCAAACATTCAGCTCTTCAGTGAACCTTTTCCACATCAACTTGTGTGCCAAAGAATCCCTGCCAGGGAACCTTTGCATTGCAGAGGATCTTGAGACATATTTTAGGATTGATAAGTGTGTGCAGCAGGTCTCTTGGCCAGGTTTCTTGGCCTGCATTAATAAACCAAGAGTAAATCCTAGCACATATCAGCGTTCTCCTGAAGCTATGCATTTCAGGAGAAGGTCAGCAGAGGTGAATAAGCTTGCTCTCAGATAAGCCATTATTCATCTCACTGGGGAACCTTATAGGCTCCTGAAGACTGATTAAAAAACTGCAGTATTATTTTAAGCTATGGAAAACTCTGAACACTGAATAAAACAACTTAACAAAATCCAACACTCCTCTATAGTAAAAAAAATAACAAATCTGTCCCAACATACTTAGCTCCCTGGCAGCTGTCTTCAGCACCTCCTGCATTTTTTCCTCTAGCTCATTCATCTTTTCTCTCAATGTAGACAGATTGGGATCAAAGGAAGGTTTCACAAGATATTCATGGATTTCCACCTAGGACACAAGGCAGAGAAACATCTACTAAAGCAGCCTTCAAGATTGCACAGTCATCTTTATCTTGCAAAAATTAAACATTCAAAATTAGTCACAATCAGCTCAACTTTACCAGCTTCTGGAACTATATACACTGAGTATGAAATCCAGCAGATTAATTCATTAAATCTGAGTGAACAAATATGTGTGGCAGATTTGTTAACATGCACAAAACGTTCCAGTCTGAGGCCTTAAAAATGATTGACTGGTCTAGCAAAAGTCAAAGGGTAATGCTTTCTGGGTCTGTATCAGCAGACTGGTGAATGATGAGGACGTTTCTGAACATTTTTGAATGATCCTCACAAAGTCTTCCTGTAGATTAGAAACTAGAATATCAGGAAGAGAACTACACCAGAACCTCTCTCCCCCAGTGTACTAGTCAAGGTTGTAAGAGTCCGTCCTACGCCGTACCCCATTACGCTGAGGACGTTAACAAAAGAATGGCTGCACGTGATCTGCATGTTCATTCTGTTTTGCCAGAGGGAACTCTTACAAATACACTTGCAGACAGATATTGGAAAAATCAGTCTAATTCTCAGGAGCCGACACCACACTCCTTCCCAGCATGACACCATTAGTAAACTGATATGACTTACTGCCTTAAATTGGTGGAGCTTCAGGAAAACCAACAGGCCCAGCTGCAGGCCCACTGTCAATACTGGCACATTCCACTCCAGCAACCAGCTGTTACCCAACTGAACCACTAGAACTTCAGTACCAGAGGCTTTTCTCTGTCTGCCAGCACAGCTAATGACTGGTCACTGCTGAATCTGCTAGGAGTATACACTTTCACTTTAGGCCCAGGCATGGCATCATGGCTGTGTGGCCAAACTCTAGGCCTTGGTTTGCTCACTTGACAGGAGGTGGTGGCAGCTACAAGCATGGATGGCTTCAAGAGGGAATTAGATAAGCATATGGAATGGAAGTCCATCAGTGGCTATTAGCCACAAGGTATAGATAGGAACTCTCAGGCTGGGGCAAGTGATGCACTGTATTCTTGGTGCTTGGGAGGGGGGCAACAGTGGGAGGGCTTGTAGTGTCCTGGCCCCACTGCTGGATCTCCTGATGGCACCTGGTGTTTTTGGCCACTGTGTGACAGAGTGTTGGACTAGATGGGCCATTGGCCTGATCCAACATTGGTTTCTCTTATGTTCTTATCTGCACAGTGTGGCAGAGAGCAGAGTGAAGTTAGAATCTTTATAGCTATGACTTCAGTGCCTCTCAAACCTGACCTTCACCTTCTTAACAGTTCAGTGGCTTCTGATCCTGGCTGTCATCCACAGTCTGTCAGAGGCTCAAAAACTGGTACCCTTACTCATCCCAAAAGAAAACAATGAACTTGAGAGCCCAGCTAGATCAGACCAAGGGTTCAACTAGGAAACCTTGAAGCAGGATGTGAAGGAAGTAACCTTTGTGTTTTATTTATCCTGAGAATATGGTAGTCAGAGACATATTTCCCCTGAACAAGGAAGTTCAGAGACAGTAAAGATGGGAGAGTTCTGCTTGTGGACTTCTGACAGGTTTCTAGCCAGCTACTGTGACAAATGAGACACTGGTCTGAGATGACAGAAAAGCCAGCATGATTCAGTGGTTAAGAGTGTCCGACCAGGATCTGGAAGACCAGGTTCAAATCCCCATTCTGTCATAAAGCTTCCTGGGTGGCCTTGGACCAGCTACACACCCTCTCAGCCTAATAACCTACCTCACTGGATTATCGTGAGGGTAAAATGGAGGAAGGGAGCCACTCTGAGCTCCTTGGATGGAAGGCAGGATAAAAATGTACTAAACAAACAAATAAATATATTTTGTAGCATAGCAAGCTCTGTTCACTGTGTGAAAAGATGTCATCTAGTAATATGGGAAGCGTTAATTTTTTAAAAAAAAAGTACACAAGAAATATGACCAACCAGGAGAGCTAAAGTGGAGAATCCTACTGAAAACCTGTGGGATAAAGCTGATATACAGGTAATCAATTCCTAGTCCCTAGTTTAATGGAGCCTTCTCAAAAGCATGCTTCATTCAAGATGCTGATCTTATTCATTACATGTACATAAGAAATTTAACCAACCAGGAGAGCTAAAGTGGAGAATCCTACTGAAAACCTGTGGGATAAAGCTGATATACAGGTAATCAATTCCTAGTCCCGAGTTTAATGGAGCCTTCTCAAAAGCATGCTTCATTCAAGATGCTGATCTTATTCATTACATGTACATAAGAAATTTATTCAGTCATTGTATTTATATCCTGCTCTCTCTCTCATCGGCTCAAAACAGCTTACCGTGGTTCGTATTTCAGCAATAATCATGTCTGTGCTAGATATGATTGATATCTAGGTATCAAGTCTAGATGACTAAAAGAAAATGAAAGAAATGCATCGTTTCCACTCACTGATGTATCCTTCTAGTCATTCCCCTCCTTCTGAAAAAACTAACAAAATGCACTCTGGTCTAGTCTTATTCACTTCAACTCCAAGGCTGCAGTTCAAGTACATAACGGGGGGTGGGGGTGTTCAAAACAATAAAACCCTTAGCATTGCCTCCCTCTCTTACTTTTCGAAGAGATACATTTGATCCTTAAAATAGCTTGTTATGGAAGGCAGGAGCCCACATCCACCTGACAAAGCAGCTGCAGCTGGTGGAAGATAAAAGTGATAATGGACAGCCTCACACACTCCTCCTCTGCTCAGAGGGAAGTTGGTTCTAAATGTTAATCCTGAGTAAACAAAGCGTGAAGCTTCTTCACGGAAACCACATTCATGCTCTTTTTAACGAACATGCCAAAACAGATCAAAAACTAGATGGGTGCCCTCCTGGAGGTTCACTTCCAGAAGGAAGAATATTTGCAAAAAGATGCAGCTGCTACTGTGGCCACTTAGTCAAGAGTTTTGTTCTCAGGTTTGCTCATTAGGGACACATTAGCAAACAAGAGGATGGGTAACAGCGATCATCTTGCACATTCCCCAAACAGCCCTGAAGCCCTCCTAATGAAATACAGCACAGGGTCCGGTTGATGGCGGCACGCTAGACAGACGCATCTCCCAGACCTCCCGGGGATGAGGTCTGTGCACGGCGGGAAGGAGGGGGAGCGCTGGCCTGTTACCCCCCCAGGAAGCCTGGTGGAAGGCGCCTAGCCAGCGGACTTATGAGGAGTCGCCTCTTCGCCTATGCGTTGTGGGTGAATTGAGGCGCTCCTCCGTCCCAATGGTCCTTCCTGCACTGTGCCCGAATGGAACTTAGTGACGCTGACCGGGGCAAGCGTAGGAGATCAAGCGGATGAAATGAAGTAAAGCGGGGTCGGAAGACCAGATATGAACGTGAGTCTGACTGAGCAAAATGACGGTTAAAGAGAAAAAGAAAGCTCCCTAACCCATGTTGAAAAACGGAAAGTGAAGCGGGCGGGGGAGGGACGCCTCCTAACTGCATGAACTTTTGAGCGAATCAAGGGGGGAGGAGCGGAAGAGAAGGCATGCATAACTGTTAAGAAATACTTACCAAGGTGAGTTCAGGCATTTGAGCGCATATTCAGAGACTTTCAAAATATTTTTCAAAGTAAACAACTGAGAAAGAAGGTGGGGAAGAGGACGGAGAAAGAGAAACTTTCAAAATCGAA